AGGACGACGGGCAACGGACGTACGCGTCACTTGACCCCAGCTGGCCTCCTGGCCTTTTCTGGCGTGACAGGCTCCCCGTGCTTCTAGAAACGAGCCTGCTTGGCGACTCCAAACTCTGGTTTTTCACGTTGTTCGGCACGATTTCCTTGGTCGTCGTCAACAGGCCCAACGCGTCGCTCACAGCCACAGGGAGGGGCGACGCAGGCAGGCCACCGAAAAGGCCCATGGGCCATGGGCGCGACGGGAACGGAAGCACTGTGGCCTTATTTATGTAGGACATTTCTCAGCAGTTCCTTGGCTTGATCGTGGCCCCAACGTCTTGGGTTGACGGTAGCATCGATCTTCTAACTACTGTGTCCTTGCATGATTGGTAAAGAAAAAAAATATAATGTTTTGGCACTGGCAACTACCTTGCCGGATTACATTGTTTGTTCAAAAATTTTCACCGAATTCGACATCTGAACCCATGTCGAAATGTCCACACACAAAACTTGGTAGTAACTTGACTAATACTTATTTGCTAAATATCGCAAGACAAGTTTATTTCTTGCTTAATTTGTGCATCACCTTGATTTTGATTGAAGTTGCTTATTCAACACACGGATGTTTTACAACAGTTCCACAGTCAGCACTTGATTTTTATCTACCGTCCTATCATGACCGACACCTCTCCTTTCTTCTTCAACCCTAAACCGTTTCTGCTTTAGGGCCTATTTGAAACGCAGAAATTTTACATGAATCGGTTCAATTTCCCAGAAAAAACACATGAATAGGAATTTTTCCTGCAATCCAAACAGGCTAGGCGTTGTTCATTTGTTTTCAAAATAAAAAAAACTAACGGTCAGTACTTTTCATCTACAATCCAAGTGGATTCTGTTGGATCCAAGGGGGTTGAGGGGAAATTTGACTTGTAGGGGATTAAATCCTCTTGATCCCCTTCAATCCACTTCAATCGGAGATGAAACAAACAGGCTCTCGAGAGGAATTGAGGGAGATTTTGATTTATAGGGGATTTAATTCCTCTCAATCCCTTTCAACCTCTTAGTTTTGGGATCAAACAAATAAGCATTAATTTGTTCACAGAGCTTAGCTCCCATGGCTGGGAGCGTCTACGTCTACCTCGTCCCCAGTGTCTCCTCGCTGTTGGGTCCTCCTCCGCCATGCTAATCCGCTAGAGATAGAGTAGAAGGGAGTCGGACATTGAGAGGGGAGAAAAAAAATCAAGTGAGTGTAGTTTAAAGTTCCCAATTTGTTTTTACTTACGAAAAAGTGTGCTTTTCTAACGTTCCAATTGGTCCAGGATACTTGATGCAAAATTAAATTCTATCTTTTAGCAGCGAGATTTTGAAAATAAAGGAATCCAACGAACGTGCTCTGACTTTTTAAAGCCACTTGAAAACTCATTGGTTTACCAATTGGAATTTTGAGAATTATTGAAGATGCTGTAAGACCTCAAATAAATCACATCGCTTAATTTTTAAATATATGAAACAATTAAATAATATAGATAGTTACAAAATTCTATTATAAATCTTCTGCGCTCCCTCCCTCCAAGATATTAACCAAAAAGAATTTTGTAACTATCTAAAAAAACATCGGTTATTCAGATCAAAAAGAAATTTGTTATTCAGATTTAGTTTAGCTAAAATCACATCAAGAAATTGACTAATAAAAGAATTTAGGCGCGCATGAGAGGTGGGTGTCAAGGAAGGAATCACGTCGCATAACTTAAAAAACACTTTGGGTCACCGTCTAAATTCGGTTAAATTTGAATAAATATAAATTAAAATAATTCTAAAATTTTGATTTATTCAGATTTAGTTTAGCTAAAATCACATCTAGAAATTGCCTAACGAGTGAGATGACGACTGGTAAGTGACATCTGCCCACAGACAGACCACCGGTATACGTCACACGTGACCTTCGCAAAATCGCAGGTCGCAATCAAGGCTGTGTGTGCTCCCCCTCCGTCTCCGTGTCCTCGCCCCTCGGTTTGCCGCCCGCCGCCGCCGAGGCCTCCTCTTCGACGGCTACTCCTTGACCCCACGGAGGCGGCGCTGGGCGGTGGCCCTCTGTCAGGGTGGACACACCCGCGCCATGGCCAACCGCGGCGCTGCAGCCGGCAAGCTCACCGTCGCGGAGACCTTCTCCAGCCTCAGGGAGCAAGGCAAGGTGCGTGCGTTTGAGCCCTCACGTTCGCGCTTCGCTTCGTCGCAACCCTTGGGGCCAATTCACCCGAGCACCCACATTTCTATTGCTATTCCTGATTGAGTCGCGGGGTTGGATTGCGGGTGCCGTGGTGTCCAATACCCAATGTTGGTCCTGGTTAGTTGCAGGGAATACCTAATGTTGGTCACAGTTAGTTGCAGGGAAATGGATCCGGGCTTGGAACAACCTGTGCATTCCTTGCATGAATTGTCCAAATGTAGCGGTTTTATGTCGAATACACACCGTGCTGGTCTTAATTTCCGTAAAAATCTAGCCTGATATTGCACAATAGTGGCCGCTGGCTGGATGTGCATATTGAACCGTCTTTGTCTGCAAAACTAGTGTTTCCATTTTTAGCTGCCACAGTGTTCATTCTCAGAAAAGGTAACTGCACTAACAAATTTGTATCCAGAGTAGCGATAAGATGCTAAGCAGAGACCAATCTTTAGTTGCAGGGATCTTGCCTTGTACTCCCTCCATTCCAAATTATAAGTTATTTTGCTTTTCTAGGTACATAGATTTTGCTATGCACCTAGATATGTCTAGATACATAGCAAAAACTATGTACCTAAAAAAGCCAAAACGACTTATAATTTGGAATAGAGGGAGTATGGTGTAGCTGTGCCGCAGTTGGCAAATAGTCTTTTGGGGGTACTGATTTAGCGAATAAAATTCAGTGGACACTGGGTCCAAGCCGTCGCTCCTGCCCTGATTGCTTAAACTTATGCGGGAAAATCACCCGTCAGAGAGGGGGGGTCGAGCCACAAACCAAGGAGCCGCGCAGACGCAGACATCAAATCACCCGGATGTTGTGGAGAGGAGCCACATCTCGTAACGTCTGATTTTGTTTAGACGCCACGCGGTAGCATCCCAGCCATGGGCGCACGGACAGGGATTTGGACCCAGGGTCGATGGAATTTAATTCCCGGATTTAGTTTAAGCTGACAGTCTAACCTAGGAAATTTTCAGACTGCATTCATCCCATTCATCACTGCGGGTGATCCTGACTTGGCAACCTCATCGAAAGCATTGAAGATCCTCAATTCCTGCGGTTCAGATGTGATAGAGGTTGGTGTACCATACTCAGATCCACTGGCTGATGGACCAGTTATTCAGGTAGTCGTGATGGCCTTTTCTCTCACCAGCTGCAACATAGTATGTGGTATGCTACAGATTTTATAGTTTTAGATTGACATCATTTCAGGCTTCTGCAACACGGACGCTTAAGAAAGGCACTACACTCGATTCTGTCATAGAGATGCTGAAGGGAGTTACACCTGAGCTTTCTTGCCCCATTGTTCTTTTCACATACTATAATCCAATTCTAAAACGTGGTGTGGGAAACTTCATGGTTACTATCAGACAAGCTGGCATACATGGTAAGCTTTCATTTTGGTTGTTTCATATTTTCTATTACCATAAGTGGTGTCTTGTCCTTGCATCTTCTGTTTATTATAAATATGATTCACGCTTAGTTCAGAAATTTTGTTGTTCTGTCAATAAGATCTTTGTTTTACACTTGTTATATGTCACAGGACTTGTAGTGCCTGATCTTCCTTTGGAGGAGACAGCGTTGCTGAGGAGCGAGGCCATTATGCACAACATAGAGCTGGTTCATACCCACTCTCATCTTTTCATGCACCACTTACACAAAATTTGTTTTATTTTGCATACTTCTGTTGCTATCTGGGTGCTAACTAAATTCTTACTCGAGATGGGACCTATCAAATCTTCAGCTTGGGCTGTGCCCATTCCAGGCGTACAAAAATACACAGTTGCAAAAGATCTTATGGGCCTTTGGATCAGCCCAGCCCTAGGAGCTGGTCTAGCTACTTGGGCTCACACATGTCAGCTGGGTTTGTCCAGTCCACTAAATTCAGGATAGGTTACGCCAAGGCCATTTTTTTTTTAATCAGCTCGTTCGGCTGGTAGGTTATCAGCTCGTTTCAGCTTGTTTCAGCTTATTCTCTCTCACAGAATACTATTGAATCATCCGAAATAATCCGAAATCTACTGTGTAACTTGGGTTTGGTACCGCAACAGAATAACTTTGCTTATTAATCATGGTGGACCAATCAACAGAATAGATATCTTGAGTATCAGCCATATATCATTTATGTTTTGCATGATTGCCTGCAGGTGTTGCTTACAACACCAACCACACCAACAGATCGGATGAAGGAAATCGCAAAAGCTTCAGAAGGATTTCTTTATCTTGTGAGTGTCCAGAAGATCCCAACTATTTGCCTAGTTGAAAGCTCCAGGCATAGTTTATATATTTTGTGTAACTTTTATGTCTGCACTAGTTAAAAGAGTTTTTTTTTCATCCTGAACTAGCACGTACCACATAAGGAATAATATCATGTCTCTACATTAATGAAATTTTACAGCGATTTTTTTTTGTCTCCTGCTTGTTCATCTCACCTGACATGTTTTTCTAGGAAAAAATATAAAGGAAACTAGAAGGGAATTATTTAGGTTTTAAGTAAAAATTATGGCACCTGGAACAAATGCATAGCCTTTCTGTTTCACCATCATTGTCAGCCTTTGATCTTGAATATATATTTAGGTTTTGGTGGCATTACTAACCTGTGTGTTATTCAGGTGAGTGCTGTAGGAGTTACAGGTGCACGCTCAAATGTAAACTTACGCGTAGAACATCTTCTTAGGGAGATCAAGAAGGTTAGTAAAATATAATCTGTTTGTCATCAGTAAACAGTGAATCAGTTTTAGTGCACCAACATCTCTATAGAAATTCGTGTTCAAGAATGCTTATCTTCCTGACTTTACAGGTTACAGACAAACCTGTAGCTGTTGGTTTTGGTGTATCGACTCCAGAGCATGTGAAACAGGTGGACTAGACTTCTCCTAACTTTCTTGCTAAACATGTGGTCTAATGGTATCTGTGATTACACCCTTTTGATATTTTCATTAGTAAACAGATCGCAGGCTGGGGAGCAGATGGTGTGATTATTGGCAGCGCAATTGTCAGACAGTTGTGTGAAGCTGCTACTCCTGAAGATGGGCTGAAAAGGCTTGAGGAGTACACCAGGAGTATAAAGGCTGCTATGCCATGAGACTCCACTCGCGTCACAGGCAAGATAATTAGAGCATAGCAAAATATTGGTTTTAGCAATATTATGGTCAGGGGTTTGGCATCCATAATTCATCGAGTGCTATATGGTATCTCTCCAGTGGTGAGAACAAAGTCCAGCTTTGCCTGTAATACAAAAAAGTTCATACGGAGTTAGTGTGACATTTTTTATGAAAAAGTGATTGTGAAATATCAGTTCATAATGATAGGCAGATCCTTTTTGTCTGAAAGATGGAATGTTGGGATGAGGTTGTCCTGACTCTTGAGAGGATAGGAATAAGAGAGGATAAGGTCATGATGATTTATATGGCTTTCCGCTTGCTTCAGGTCTTCCGCTTGAACCCACAAGTTGGTGTCCAGGGATGAGGCAACGTGATGGCTGATTGGCTGCACTGAAAATGACATTACCTTGAGCCAATTCGTCTTGCTCTCTTCTGGAAGACTTTCAAGGTCCATCAGGCTGGAGGCTTTTCCCTGTGCCATTGTGAAAGATACTCCATTTCTACGTGTCACTAAAAAGTTTATACGGACTCTGGTGCCATGACGCTAAACTTTCTTGTCCTCCACGCCATTCCGTCCGTCTACTAGCCCTGACATGTGGGTCCAACCAGGAAAAATGTCCAAAATACCCTTCTCTATACAAGTGTCTACATATAATAAATGTGGGTGATTTCTCTCTCTTCCCTATCCCTTCCTCCCTGCCTTTCTCCTTCGTTGTGAGCAAGCGGCCGGCGTGGGCGATCTCGCGCGGCGCGAACGAGCGGTGGCCGGCGAGCGCGTGCTGCCGGCGAGGCGAGCTCGTGCGGCTGATGGCGGGCGGGCAGGCGCGTGGCTGTTGGCGGGGCGAGCGGCGGCGGACGGTGGGCGGGAGGGCGCGCGGCTGCCGGCGAGCCCCCATCTGGGGCGCGGAGGCACGAGTGGCGCGGAGCCGCGGCCTGCGCGGCCGCGGAGGGACGACAGCGGCGACTCGCGCGACGGCAGCCCCGCCCCACACCCCGTGGCCGCGCGGGCCGTCCTGCGAGAAGAGCAGGGCTGGAGCCCCACGGCCGCAACAGTCGTCCGCAAGGTGCTTGGCGCGAGCTGGCCGGACACCGCGAGCGAGCCGACGAGGATGACACGGCCGCGGCTGCGAGCGAGGAGACTGCGTCCACGGTGGCGAGGACGGGCTGCTGGACCGAGAGCGCAGCAAGCGCCGGAGGGGCAAGACCGCAGGAGCACGACGTGCGTGGGGATGGATTGGAAGAGGGGGGCATTTTGTACATTTTCACTGGTCGGACCCACATGTCATGACTAGTAAACGGTAGAAATCTAATAGAAGGCGGACGGAATGGCGTGGAGGACAAGAAAGTTTAGTATCATGGCACCAGGGTCCGTGTAAATTTTTTAGTGGTACATAAGAATGGAATATCTTTCGTAATGTCACGCGGGAAAAGCCTCGTCAGGCTGGGTCACAGATCAATCCGAATGGACCCAGATGTTGGTGTTTTGGATAACGGAAAGTCAATTCTGGCCTATATTTATGTCGGGTCCTTTTATAGCCTACCCATATTTATGGTCAAATCAGTGCCGGATGTTAACACTTCCCCTATCTATGGAAACTTTTCCGGTGCTCATCATATCATGCATGTGACTAGTAACATGTTGTTGGATGAATAAATTCTTTAGCTTTGTCATGCCAGCATGAAGCGTATCTGGACGTGAAGAAGCAGTGTTGATATTGAACTGTCCATGTACAGTACAGGTAGAATTGGATAGGCTCTCCTCACTAGTGCAAGGGCCTAGGGCCCATGAAAAGTCAATTGCTTGCGCCAAGACGCACCCGGCATCCGGGAAGCGACGCGCTGCCCTCTCCTCGCGTTCAGCCTAGACAGAGGAAAAAGAGGTGATGAACAGTTAGGATCAGCTTGTGAGATTTGACTCCGGCGTTTGCTTGGATTCTTATCGAAACACACGGCTTCAAACCTGGCACATGTTTGGGTAGGCACACAAGAAGCATTTACACAAAAGAACATGGAAATTTTGAGCAGTTTTTTTTAAAGCTGAAAACAGTACAAACTAAGGGCGAGTCTGATGAAGCTCCTAACTAGCTCCCGGCTCCCGCTCCCATCGCTTCCTAGAATCCCAGTCGAAATCTGAGGCATTTGGTAGCGCTTCTCCCTCGACTCCACGACATCGTGGCAGATCTGGAGTCGATGTCAGATCTGGGGCGAGGAAGGGCGGGGAAGCATATATGTAGGTTAAATGGTGCTTATCCAGATTTATACCTAGAATTGTATTTTTTTTTATAGAGGGAGTACATCAATATGCATTTTCCTGAGGTTTTGTTTTGAAAAGGAATTTAATTTCCTGAGTTGATCTGACGTTCGACTCTAACCAAGGCCTTGTTTAGATTAGAGTTAGGAATCAGTATTTGATACTATAACACTTTCGTTTGTATTTGACAATTATTGTCCAATCATGGTCTAACTAGGCTCAAAAGATTCGTCTCGTAATTTACAATCAAACTGTGTAATTAGTTTTTTTATATACATTTAATACTCCATACATATGTCAAAAATTTAATGTGATAGAGAGAAAGTAAAAAAACTTGTAATCTAAACAAGGCCCAATAGAGAAAGAGGACACGACAACGTGCAGACGGGGGGAATACAAGCAAGTGAGTCTTTATCCGTGGAAAGGATTCAAAGGGCGTGGGTTTTTGGATGAGACAAAATCTCAAATTAGGCAATAACAAGGATATATCCCTCCATTCGGAAACGGGAAAGGGGGAGCAAGAGCATCCAAGAATCTATGCATGCACTTTGGCTTTGGGTCATGTCCTACTCACTACTAGTGGTGCGCAAAAGGGAATAAGCTTGGACCATGCAGTAATCGACCGTGTCCACGTCACGTTGTAGACCAATCGTGATTCGCCTATATCGACGCCATGTCACCGTCGCCATATATGTCGACCTGACATTTGGATTTTGGAGGTGCCGTCTAATCCTTCCTTTCAATTCGGTTGATCATTTGGCGAACGCCACGTGTTAAAAGAGGCCACCTTTAGAATTCTTTCTATTAAGCACTCAAGATGAAGACGACGGTTTGTTCGTAAAATGGATATTTTATTCAGTTTTTATAGTTTATATCACAGGGAAACTATTTAGAAGACGACAATAATAAACTCGAGATAGTTGCAACTGGCTACTCCCTCTATCCTCTAAGAATTTAAAATGTATACCTAATTATAAGGGTTTTTAGGGGACAAGAGATAGTTTTGCATTAGATGAAAGCATAAATTCGATAGATATTATACTATTATTTTCTTCATTCTAAATTATAAGATGTTTTGGCTTTTCTAAATTCATAGTTTTTGCTACGCACCTAGATATATATTATGTCTAGATACATAACAAAAACTATAAATTTAGAAATGTCAAAACGTCTTATAATTTAGGAAGGAGGAAGTACCATTTATCAACCAATCTCCATTAATCATGCTGATGACAGCATCCACTAGGAAATAAGGTAAGAGTACATGTGTCTTTTGTATTCTCTCTTTCTAAAATCACTAAAATATACAGGATGGGGGAGTACTCCCCCCATTTTAAATTATACAAGACGTTTTGATATTTTTAGATATATTATGTTTACTACATATCTAGACATAGTATATTTCTAAATGTATAGCAAAAACTATGTATCTAAAAAAAAGACCAGAACGTCTTATAATTTAGAGTGGAGGAAGTACTAAATTTCCTGAATTTTGTTTTGTACAAAAAATAAAGTGGTAAATACACGCCATTTATGAATTCTCATTTCTATAGAAAATACACAAAATACACATTAAAAAAAAAAAATTAAATATTTTTTTGTGAGAAAAAAAACAGCACATGCCATTTAGAAATTCTCATTACATAAAGATAGACACAAAATACAAATTTAAGAAAAAAAGAGAAGAGATTAATACTTTCATACACACTATCTGTCCCAAGATAACTACACTATAAGGAGCTAAGCTTTTTTTAAATTTAATTAGATTTATAAAAACTTTTATCTAAGATGTATATCTCTTAATATGTTTATTATGAAAATATATTTTCCTTTGTCGGTGATATCTAGAATCAATCCTCAACATGTCATTGATTAGTACGTATAGATAAAAAGCAGCTTTCCAATGAGAAAAGAGGCGTGTATAAGGAAAAAAAAAGTTCATGTCCAAATAAAAGGACAAACAAAACCCACGTTTTTTATAAGTAAAATTGGCGTGCGCGTAGAGGCGTGAAAGCCGACCGTGCTGACTTTATTTACAGCCACCGTCCCACCCCATCATCTCTTCTTCCCCTCTTCGGCTCTTCCCTTCCATTTTTTGCTCCTCTCTTCCACCAAACCAAGCCCTGCCAGAGAAATTTCTCCCAAATTTTAGATCAAATCCTCGAATCCTCCGACCCCTAGCGAAGCTAGCAGAAAATTCTTCTCAGAAGCGTCGCGATCCGGCTCGATCCAGCATGGAGCGCGTCTTCTCCGTGGAGGAGATCCCCAACCCCTACTGGGCCCCGCCGCACCCTCAATCGGCGGCCGCCGGCGCTGTTGCTGCACCAGGTGGAGGAGGGGGAGCGGGGGATGCGGCGGGTGCGATGAACCGGTGCCCGTCGGAGTGGTACTTCCAGAAGTTCCTGGAGGAGGCCGTGCTCGACAGCCCGGGTCCCGTCGCCGGCGTCGGTAGGGGCAGCGGTGGAGCTGGAGTTGAGGCGGCGGAGAGCAAGCCGCTGGGGGCCGCGGCGCCCGCGGCTGCGTCGAGCTCGGTTGTTGACCCCGTGGAGTACAACGCGATGCTCAAGCAGAAGCTGGAGAAGGACCTCGCTGCCGTCGCCATGTGGAGGGTATTGCTACTTGCCTTTATCTGCAGCTCACCTGCAATGCTGTTTGGTTCGAATGGTCAGAGCTTATAGTAGCTTGTTTGTGTTCTTATGTGGTCAGAGCTTATAGCTGCTCCAGATAGTTTTCTTATAGATTCCTAGAGGTCATCAGTCTCAGAGGACACGAAACATCCAGCAGTCCAGCACAGTATCTCATATTCCTAGGCTCCTTGCCCTTTGCAATGAGATGACGGGGCAAGTGATCATTTGCTTTTAGGACTAGGGAAATGTGGAATTCGTGGAGTCTGGGATTTCTTCTTAATCAATATAATCGGCAGCTCTCCTGCTTGATTCGTTTCAAAAAAATATATATTTTGTTGTAAGTTCATGATTCCTGTCGTTTCATGTGTGTGGGTGGTTAATTACGACTGCTGTCGTCGATAGCGATTCATAGGTCATTGTGCGCTATTTGAGGACATGAGTAGTATCCGCTTGATTTGTCTCCTACACGTTTTTGTTGTTTCTGTGATAAGCGAATTATCTTGTTTAGATACTCTTGGGGATTATATGAGCCTGGCTTATCAGAATATTATAGCTACTGGATATGTTTATCAGAACTTCATGGTTCAAGCATCGAGTTATGTTTCTCCACGTCTGTAATCGAGTGAATTCCCATTTTTGTGCCTAGCATCAAGTACTACAGTAACATGAGTGGGAGCCCAATATGCATGGTTTCTTTTTTATCCTATCCTCTTTCTATATTTTCGTTTATATCTAATTTCTGATACCATTTTATCCACAGGCTTCAGGTGCAGCACCTCCAGAGCATTCTGCAGCTGTTTCTTCCTTGCCAAGTGTGGATGTTCCGCATGCAGCTCCTCTTAAACCCATCGGAGGTAATCATCCAGTCATCATTCTGCTGCGTCTTCAAATTGATTGCGAAACTTGGCTCAGATGAGCTTATGTTTCAGTGCTCTATACTCGTGTAATAGGTATTAGACCTTCAGTTCCTCTGTCCTTGTCCTTGTCCTTGTAGGCATCATTTTTTTTGTGAGGTTGCTTGCTACTTGCTAGTATCCATCTGCGGTTGACTTAGTAAACCATGGGAAACTTGATATTCTGTTGTGAATTTTCAAAATAAAACACCTTGTGATTGTGAAGCCTTTATGGTTGTATCCTTATGGTATGCCGTCCATTACTATGCAAGGGACAATTGTACCAAGTAGCCGAATCACGATTTCACTGACATAGTGCTATTTCATTTGGGTAAACATGCACGCACTGTAAACACTAGCCTTTTAACTTATGTATGACATCTGGTTGAATGACTGAACTAAGGTCTGGATTGTATCTTGGGCACATATCAGGTACTGCAAGTCTAGTTCAAAACAAGCTAGCTGGTGCTCCAGGTGGGGGATCAGGTCCACATGTAGTACAGAATGCCGATATCCCTATTAAGCAAACCACTAGCTCTTCCTCACGAGAGCAGTCAGATGATGATGACATGGAAGGAGATGCTGAGACTACTGGAAATGCAAACCCTGTTCAACAAAGACTACAGAGAAGGTGATCTTTTATTTTTACCTGTTTGTGAAATGTATGTGCATCAAGACTTTACTTTATGCCAAAGGGTGCCTAGCTGAACTGGTTAGGTAGCCTCGGCGGCACTCCTCAGGTCCTGAGTTCGACTCCCCATGGGAGCGAATTTCAGGCTGGGGTTAAAAAAATCCCTCGTCTGTCCCACGGCCAAAGTGCAGGTCAAAGGCCCGGCCCGGTTCTCACAAGGCAACGGCGCCCCTGTGTCAGGGTGGGGTAGGGGTTTCGGGGGTTTTCTCGGCCTGTGTGAGAATGTCTTCTCTCTTACAGCAATGCCCGGGGGTGGCTTACCCCCCGCAGGTCGAGTTTTTTTTTAAGACTTTACTTTATGGCTGACATTGTATATTTGTATGCCATGGTAATTATAATTTGTATTGCCATTGTTTTCTTATATGCTATAGTATTATTTAGTGGACCAATTCTCAAGTAGAGTGGTCTGCTTGTTTTTGTGGTTGGCAATACTTTTAGCCTTACTGTAAAACTGGTGTTGGCTTGGTGCCACAACCATACACATGTAATTCTTGGAGTCGAGGCCAGTTTTCTTTACTGTTTCCAGGAAACAATCCAACCGAGAATCAGCCAGGCGTTCGAGAAGCAGAAAGGCAGCTCACTTGAATGAACTGGAGGCACAGGTCTGATGGGTTATGCTGTTATTTTTACGTGTTGACAAATTCTAGATGTTCTTGGGCTCTTGGCTAACGAGCTAGAGTTGTTGATGTCTTGTTACAGGTAGCACAGTTAAGAGTTGAAAACTCTTCGCTGCTAAGGCGACTTGCTGATGTTAATCAGAAGTTCAATGAGTCTGCTGTTGACAATAGGGTGCTAAAGGCAGATGTTGAAACCTTAAGAGCAAAGGTACGCTGCTTTGTCTGCGCTGTTTGAGCCCTGCATCTGCTGAATTGGACACTTTGGGTTGTTTCAATCGCTAGCACTAGGTGAATCAGAATTCAGAATCACACCCTAGATTTTAGAGATAATCCATGGTCATCACATAGTACAGACCTTCCATACATAATTGGATGTGCTTGGTTATTCTGATTGAATCTGGGAATGCATCATGTTTTCAGGTGAAGATGGCAGAGGACTCAGTGAAGCGGGTAACAGGCATGAACACGTTGTTCCCAGCCGTTTCTGATATGTCGTCCCTCAGCATGCCATTCAATGGCTCCCCAACTGACTCCACCTCTGATGCCGCTGTCCCCATCCAAGATGACCCAAACAGTTACTTCGCCAATCCAAGCGAAATCGGAGGCAACAACGGTTACATGCCAGATATAGCTTCCTCGGCTCAAGAGGACGACAATTTTGTCAACGGGGCTGCTGGCAAGATGGGCAGAACAGCCTCGCTGCAGCGGGTGGCAAGCCTGGAGCACCTCCAGAAGAGGATGTACGGAGGGCCGGCTTCATCCGGGTCGACCTCCTAGGTTTCTCCTCCATTGGATATGAAAAAGATCCTGATGCATAACGGCAAGAATGATAAATTAACCATTTCAACATACTTTGTAGTGGATATTGCTAATCCTGCGATGCGCATTCGTTCGTTGTGGACTTATGGGTCAAGTGCTATTGACTTATTTTGCATTCTTCATGTGGATCTCTGCTCTCTGGTGCCCGTGTGCTATACAAGAGTCTTTCTAAATCTTACTCTCTAAATTATCATTTGAGGGTCATTTACATAAAAATCAATTTCTATATATTTTTATTCTTCAATAGTTTTTCTATATCTTGTGAGCAGTCTAGAGAGCCATTCTCGTCTTCTATTTTTGGCTAGTGAAAAATTTGAAATAAAAAATAGCTATATTTAATAACCATTTAGATAAGCTGTTATAGGATAGTTTTTCACCAAAATCTCTATTCCTGCCATTTAGGAAGAGAATAGTCTCTTATGCTCCAACTGCTGTCTGTTGCGCATTACAGTGGGCAGAACAAGTTCAGTTTCCATCGACGAGCAAGCTATGGGCTATGTGCCTTTAGCTAGTTCAGTAATGAATCGTCGATGGTCTGTCAGCGGCCTTGAACACCGGGCCACCACTAGGTTTTAGACTTTAGTGACACACTGGTTTAATGCAAAACAAAAATACAGCTCCTGGCCAAAAGGATAGCATATATGAGGACATCAACTGTATAACAACAGTATAAATAAAAACAAGGCACTTCTCCAAATTCCACCACCAGATTAATTTTTTTGAAACAATCCACCACCAGGTTATAACTTTGAACATGACTGTCACGGTACACGCTCTAACAACTACCTTGCATATGATTTGTTACAAACAAAATTCTTGCAAAAATTGCGGTGGATGTAAACAATAATCAATGAATTGGGACCGTGACATGTAAGGATGGCCTAGCTACAGAAGACAGAAAAGTACCCTGGTACGAATTATAACAGAGGCTTGTGCAGGTGCCCCATCGCTAGCAGCTTCACTGCCTCCCTTCATCCACCAAAAATAATTGGCGATACATAGGCAGGGCACCATCAAAATATGCCCATCCAAAAGCACGGGGAGATGATCCACAACGGGCAGTTTAGCCTCTTCTATAAGTAGATATTTTGTACCATTCTTTAAAAGAAAAACTTATGCATTGCGTATAACTAGTCTGATCTCGGGCGACTCGAGTTCTTGTAAGAATTCTTGTACAATGGGAGGAGTGAACCCCTTCCCCGCTTCCTTCTACCACCGAAGCATCTCCAGTAAAGAACCCCAAATGATAGCATTATGACAATTGGGATGGCCCATCTGTTCAAAGAATTGCATGTTAGTCGGGCAGAGTAGCATGCCAATATATACTTGTTAAATGGAGTAAGGAGACTACCTGTCCAGATCAAGAATAGGGCTGTACACGATGATTTCCCAGGAAGAAACAATGATGTGCCAAGCTGGATTATAGTACAGTGATTCTGCTGACCAGAACATTCTCGTGTACGTCTCTAGGAAGATGAACATCACCCAAGCGACAATTTCAAGCAAGAAGAACTTGATGACAAAGCGTCCGATGACCACCATGACCAAAGAGAAGGTCACCAACCAATTGAAAAGCTTGTTATTGTACTCCTTGATGAAAAGAGCACGAGACTTGGCAAGCATCTGAACACAACACCAAACTGGAGCTTAGTCCATGCAAACCATAAAAAGTTTGAGTAAAAGCAGCAAAGCAGCATACAGACTCGAGTAGAGATCGCAGAACCATAGAAGATATCAATGCACAGGATAACTACATGGGTTCCCTCCACACCAAACATGGTTCTTATTATCTTCCTGTTTGTGCATCTTTACTAGCTTATATGTTTATTTTGATATTCACAGATAAAAAATTGTCAGTGCCATCAGGTCCCAAAACAAATCTACCATTCTACAGGGGAAAATGTGCTACCAATATAAAAGTAACTGAATTTCATCATGTAGAGTTGTAGACAGATGAAATGAAATGTAAGATGGCAGCAACCAAAAATAAGAATAAAAGAAGGCTGGTTTGTCATGGGCAACTAGGCAGCAAAATATATGTATAATGCTACAGCACTCAAAATTCATGATTTCACCTTAGGCTCCTTGATGCCCGACATGAAAACTATATTCAGAATTAAGAGGCAAACCTTTGACATTCTACGTTCATAGCTTTCTTTTGCAGGTCCCACGCAGTCCTTTACAAAACTTTGATTGCAGTGAGTAAAGCCTGCATTGAATTTCGCCATTGAAGGAAGTTTCAAGACTTGAAGGTGATCCATCTTATCTTCACACTCAGAAAAGCGAGCTTCACACAGCTTTGACGATTGATATTCATTAGCTAGAAGGAAGTTTCTGTACACCTACAAAGTACATCCTGTAAGTATGTAAAACATATTATCTTCTAAAGGTGACAGAAGGTGTAAGTTGAGTTGAAGGCATGTAAGAGATGCCACAGAAAGTTTCTGTGGCGTTCCAACTCCAATGGAAAGAAAGACAGGAGCCACAGCAAGGATATCAGATACCAAAACATTATGCACAGAACGCCACAAAAAAATCAAACTGTAGTAGTGGAATTATAATTGTATTTTTTATAACAAGGTAAAGAATAACAAATAGAACAATAATGTATCATGTGAACGTACATAGATGCCATTACAGTATTATTGTCATGCAACAGCTTACATATCATGCGGATTTCCTTTTTTAATGTGAAATGCAACCCAACACATTGATACTGCTTGACTGAACCTTATGTGGCCATTCAAAAAGAGTGAAAAAAGTATCAACAAACCTTTTTAATCTCATCTTCAAGCTTGAGGGCCGACTCAGCAGCATGATGTTTGCCAAAGTGCTGCTTATCAAAGAGAATTCTAGCTTCACCATTTGACATCTCATGAAGTTTCTGCAGCTCGTCTACTGGTACTGGTAGGCCTAGGCCATCCATTTTCTCCCTGTACACCTTCAGACAGCGATCAAGAATGGCTTTGTTAAAAATTTCAACCAGAGATCCCGTTGATGGAATTTCGCCTTTATTCAAAGCCTCAAGAATCTGAAACACAGGAGGAAAAGTTACTAATAATTCTAACTGATCAGATACATACCAGCAACCACATCATTAAGTATTTTACCTGCTGCAAGAAATACACAAAGTCCTTCCCATTGAGAGTTCTACCCTGCACGATTTTTGGTTTTACAATGGATGAAACAAGCTGCTTTAATTGCTCCCGCTGTTTTACATATAAGGGTTCAAGCTCTTTGTCCTCCATATCACATAATTTCGTTCTTTGAAGATGTGGCTGTATAAACAAAATTAGTGTTCATATGGTTTGCAGGAAACACAGCACAATGCAGAAGCATTAACATTAATCAGCACCATACAGGATAAATTGTAGCAGTTACATAACTACATATAATGTTCTGTTGAGCAGTCAAAGACTGCTTAAATTAAATAACTGCAGTTAGACGTTGCAAGGAAATTATCAGAAATGTACCTGGGGCAAGCTAAAAGCAGTGCTGTTGTTGCCCATAACTGCCAAAGAATCTCGTATTTGATTGACCTAAAAACACATAGAATGAAAATTTGTAACTGAGCTTGGAACTAACAACTTTTGGTTCAAGTGTATATTACTAGATTTCATACACAAATTATACCTCATCAATATATTTGTCACCTGCAGAAATAAATACAAAAAAAAAGTGAGACCTTTCTAGTAGATGCTCAAATAACACAAAACTAGCAATAGTTTGTAATGTTGCTTGAGCTGACCATTATCATTAGGCACCCGCTGGAGGGCTTCATTGACCATTTGTTGAACAGATTTTCCTTCTGTTTCCAATGTCAAAGTGACCACTCTTAGAGAAAATTTTCGTATTAAGCACAGGTAAATATAGCTCACCAATTATAAAAGAATAATAATAGGGAATAAGAGCACAACTCCAATGAAATAAGCACTTATAATTATAATACAGTAGAAATAATATAAATAACAAATATCAACGTAGTGTAACAAGCAGCAGTTATTGACCAACAAGCCATTGATTTAGCAAGCCACTGGTTAAGTTAGTGCAGCGTAGTCTAACAAACAGTTCAAACATTAATAGTACATCAAGGTTTGGATATAGTAGCAGTAGCTATTGAAATAATCATGTTGCGCTTTCACACACGTCTTTTCTTACAGATACCTAGGACAAATAAACAGTTTAGAACTTGGTTCTATCTTCACCTCCACGAATTTTCGTGGAACGACTCCATCACTAATAATGCTTATACTAATTATATAAGCTTGTGATGGATGTTCCATTCCACAAATCAAACAAAAAAGTGAGTGAACAGATGATGAACCACCCCATTCCTTAAACCACTTTGTACGTTTTCAGTTCATGAAACACAGTTATGGTGCAGAACGAAGCCATGTTTATGACATGTGAAAGGTGAGGTGGCACAAAAACTGAGGCAGCAAGAACAACAGACCTTAAAAGTTATTCATGCTACCATTTCTCTTACTTTCTATGGCACAAGTTGCGAGCCACTTTTTGTTAGTGACTAAAACACACATTAGGCCCAACGGAATCGATTACGAGCTATTCTATGTGCTTAAGATTACATGCTGTGCAGATTGCAGAAAAAAAAATCAAAATTCATAAAGGATGCCAGTCCAAAGTTTGACCTTTTGCATTCTCAAACAAAATGGAACTGTTTCAAATCATCTTAATAGGGAGAACTATTCTTGAAGCAACTTACGGAGGAAATCCCTCTGGATAAGCCAGAGAAGCTTTGCTGGCTCAAAAGCAACATCTTGCCCCTGAAAAAACAAGCATTTCCATTTAAAAAAAAGTATCCATGTTCCTATTTTACAGGCTCATAATTTCATGCAAATGGAGCATTACCTTCACTCTGCTCACAAACATGCAGCATATAACAAAAAAAGGATAAACGTTAGTGTTCCAGATCAAAATGATTATATGAAAATGGCAAGGCGCAAAAGAAATGAACAAACCTTCCATAGAATTCTTCAGCAATTTCAACGGCAAATGAAAGCCTAGATATATCAGCTTCACGTACCTGCAATGGCACACAATGAAATTAACCAACCAACAGCCATTGAGGGGAGAGGGAGAGAGAGAGGGAGGGAGAGGGGGAGAGAGAGAGCACCGTCTCAGGAAGGTTGTAGATAAGGACCGAACTTAAGACAGTCGCCAAAGCAAATATCCTACCAAAAAAAGAAAACACTCTAATAGTTAATTCTCCATCCTAGGAAAAGTAAATCAGAATGAGCTCATTTCTAAGCACAAACCTATCATCATACACATTTGATTTCCCAACACTTTCAAACCCTTCAGTGTCTAGATAAAGGACAGAAACTTTGGAACCATCAACAACCATCTCAACTGGAGTACCCCAAATCCAAATACCTGCAATATAATAGGAAAAGGTACAATAAATTTCTCATAAGCTAAGCAAATAGACAACCAACAAAGATGCAAAGTTCCGGGACATTGGGAAACAACCTCACCTTTAGTTTTAGTATCTCGCATATGACCAACTCCAAAACCTGCATTGCCAAGACTGTCACATTCTCAAATAGTTCTAGTATGCAAACTAGTAAATCCATGTTTATAATATCAGAAGCAACATCTAACTACCTTTATCACAAGATAAGGAGAGAAGCTGGTTGAGGAGAAAAGATTTTCCAGATCGATACGGACCAATGACCTGAGTTAACAAGCAGTTAGTCATTGTCTCATTGAGGTGTCAAATATTGCAATAAGCAATCCTTCATATCATGATTGGTCTTGTTCAATAATGTAAAATACTAAAATGACAAACACAATACAACTCTTACGAACAAAAAGTTCAAACTTACACCAACAACAGCAATAGGAGTTTCAATCCTTCGAATTGCTTCTAGACCTTGTTCTGAGAGACGAAGTTTTGTGTGTCCATGGTCTGGCTCCACTATTGGAAACCTGTAGGTACATACAGTGAAAAGTTGATGGTAGGCCAACACAATGATCTTCCATCATATGTCCCATTAAATGCTTCCATCAGAAGCATGAATAACGAACATGAATATTTGATACATAAAATCAAAAGTTCAAAAAAAAGAGTAACAGACAATAGTCTCCTTTTTTCTGGAAGCCAGATTTCATGAGGGGGCAGAAGCAAGCAGTCTCACTCAATGACTAAATACCACATACATCAGTGTGCAATGAGGTCACATATATTCAGTGCCCATATTCACTCTAGAGAAAGGTACTGAGTTATTAACATTTAGAAATCTTGAGGTAAAACGAAAAACTAACCAACTTCTGTAATATATGTGGGAACATAAGCTTAGACAAACTTTACATAAAATTTGCAAAAGTCAAAAGAAAAGGATGGAAAAAGAATTCGAGCAGAAACGTTTGCTAGAACCTACTCCCTCCGTTTCACAAATCAATTCGTTCTGGGCTGTAGATCAGTTTTCACATATCTGTTCGTTTTGAGTGGACCACGGCTAAAGTAGATTTAGTTTGCCCGTTCTTCGGGTTAATTGAAAGGTCATTGGGACTCGGCAATAAGCGCATGACTGCATGCAAGACGAGGACGGGCATTGAACGAAGTGCTCTGTTTTATTAATAAAACAGAGAAACCAAGCGTCGCCGGAACGCGCCAAGACGCCGTGAATACTGCACCCAATACAAGGCCAATAGCCGCAGAAATAGAGCAAGCCAATAAAAGTAGTCTCAATTTCAACACAGTGCCATACAAAAAAGCGGGCAAAGGCGTAAAAAACGCGCCGAGTGCACAATTGCCATGCAAAATTCGTGACCTTTGCAAAATGCCAAAAGCGTGGTAGGAATCGAACTGAGGCCTCCTAGATCAGGAGGCAGCGTATACCAATACAAGGCCCAGCTACGCACGGTTAGTGTATAAATGATACCCACAGCCCTATTTAATAAGGGCATACAGGGAAAAATACACTCTACTTAATTGCTCCTTGGTATCCTAAATCATGTCCAAAACGAACTGATTTGTGGGATGGAGGGAGTATGAAACAAGCATATACTTTGGATAGTGTACTCATTACTCATGTATGACAAATGGGCGTTCATTTAATTGAAAGGCTTGGGACTCAACAATGTTTGAAGCTATTCAAATTACCATTTTAGGCAAAAGCACCCAAAAATATTCAAACAGGAACATTTGCACAACAATACTGCACCCAATCTGCCATAGCCCATAGAGCAGCCAAAGTAGTCTCAATTTCAACACTGTTTGAAAGCTGAAACAATTGCGCCCACGACATAAGTAATTCACTACCAAAATGCCAAAAAAAACACCATTCCTCTTAGCCTTCTCCATTTACAAGGCATGAAGTACCAAGCACCTGTTATTCCTCGACATCTCACCTAACTTGTTCTACCAACTTCGCACAAGCGCGGCATGAAGAACTCATGACACGCGATACAAGAGATGTCGGGATTGGGAAATTTAACCAGAATTGTACAGGTAAGCAGTCAAGCAGAGCGCTTTAGCTCCTTTACGCTACAACACCTCATCATCGCGTGGAATGCACGGCGCGGACGGCGCATGCTTCCCACCAGTCAACGCACGCACGAGCACGAGCAATGCTGGCCAAAGACGCAACGCGACATTCGCGCAATCCAACGCGAAATTCGGTTCGACGCCCCAACACAAGCAACGGGAATGGCGCCACAGCACCGACCAGCCATACGGATACGCGGAGTAGAGCGGAGACACTTACGCGCGCTCGAGCTCGTCGGGATCGGGATCCCCCGCGGCGGCTCCGGCCGCAGCCGCGACCGCGAGCAGGATCAGCGCCGCCGCGCGGATCCCCGGGGCCCACCGCCCCCGCCCCCGGCCCATCCCCTACGCCGCCCACAGGCAACCAGGTCTCCTCGACGCAGATCTCTGCCACGGGAGCGGAGGCGACGCCTGTAAGCGCCCCAATGCGGCGAGCGGCAATGGCCGGCGCGGGCGCGGACGCCGCCGCCGCTTGGGCACCGGGCGGCGAGGCGCGGGATCTGGGGCTAGGGTTTTGGCGCGCAGGCGGATTCGGGGGTTGCTTCGGCGCGAGGGAATGAATGGGAAGAGCTCTGGAGGCGCGGGGCGACGAGGTCGGAACTCGGAAGAGGAGAGGAGAAAATTCGGGGGAGCACGGAGCAGCGAGGGTGATGCGAGCGGCGAGAAGCCCGCTTCCGTATTTAAGCGGACAATTATTTAGCGCTTCATTATAGCGTCTACTATTAATAAATGTCGCTAATCACGTCGACTTAAGGGTTCCATGGGCCCGCATAGCAGTGGGAGCTGAGGACTGGCCGTGGTGGGAACCACGACTTGGATGCGAGCATGTGGACTTGTGGGGTGCTCCCTGGGGATGGGAGAGCGGACACGTTTGCAGGGCCCACGTGGCGGTGACTGCGACCAATAGAAGCAGAAGATCTGGTGCTGCTCAGCTGCTGGCAATGCTTCCGTCCGATGTGCTCAATAAAATACTCATAATAATATTTCATCCGTTCTTTTTTACATATCGTTTTTTTTGTCCAAAGTCAAATATTTTCATCTTTAGTCATCTATTTTCAAAATCTATGTAATTTCGTAACATGTAAATTATATCTTATGAAATTATTTGTTGTAGTCAATCTAAAAACATAAATCTTACGTTGTTAGCATGTTCATTTTAAAAAAGTTAATGGTTAAAGTTAAAAATATATAACCTATGACAAAGCTAATATTACATATAAAAAGAATGAAGGGAGTAACGTAGTGTAGAGGGCACTTTTCAAGCCAGAAAAAATGTTGTCTCATGTTCTCTCCGTGCATATCATTCTGGGATTCAAATTTTATCTCACCGAATTTAGCATTGTGGCTTTAAATACCTACTAGGGTCCAACTTAACCGTGCATCTTTCCTCTATTGTCCAATCTCATCGTATGACTCCATGCATGCTCTTAAACTATAACCACATGCACAATTATTCAAGTCACACGTAGAACATCAAATCTTTTTTATGGGAAATGGTTTAACAAAACAGGGGAACTAAAGATCTGGTCCCAAATTTGCCTACCAGAGAGTCCATCAGCCTTTCATTGGCAGACGGTGGCAACAGCCCAGCGTGTCCAGTGTGGTGGGCCAGCCCAGAACAGCCTTCGCACCACCGCTCGGTCCATTAGAGACATGGCGCGCTGGCTGAAAATCTCTTCCTCTACAAGTCTTCTTCTTCTACGTCTACATCTACATCTACATCTACATCTAATAAGCCTCTCAGGTAATCGTCCACAATAGAACCAAAATTGGCAGAACCAAAACTAGGAATCCTTCACCTCCAAATCAGAATCACAAAGAAATATCAAAACTTTCGTAAAAAAAGAAGAAGATTCGTGTGTGCACCCTCCAAAGTCTAAACTCCGAGTGAAGGGCACTATAGACATTTCATCACTCTTTAGCGAAGCTATTTTATCAAACGTTTTCAAAATAACTTCAGCTCCATAAAAGAACATGCTCCATCGAAATTGTATGGTCCCGGTGCAACGCATGGGCATTTATCTAGTCAATCATCAAATACATAACTCACCATAGCTCTAGCTAGGCCTCATAATGGGTCGAGATTTTCGGTGATATTCAGGGTTAGTCATAGTTTTTTATATGTTTGTTGGCTAAAAAAAATACTCTGTTGGCTGGACTAGGAGGGCCTGTAGGCCGTGAGCCATAACTACCCAAGTTGGTTCCTATAGAAAGGAGTATATGCTTACATTGACGAAAGAGAGATTTAACAAACGTTGGTCAGGCGTACGTGCATTGTTTGATGGCGGCCACTGCATTGGTAGGGCCACAATGCAAGAAACGAATACAAAACTTGGGTCTCCCAATTACACGTCTATCCCATCCTATGAGCGACGAGCCGACGATGAACGAACAAGGGTAGTATATATTAGTTAGGTAGGTCTTTCCACTCTTAGTGCTCTGCGCATTCCACTCACGGTGCACATCCCTTCTGCCCAAAAGGCAAATGCAATCACAAAGAAGACAGAAGCCACCGCAGCCGCAACCATAACCGCCACCAGGGCTTCGTCCCACGTCATTTTTGTAGTGGCGACGCACCGTATAAACAAGTACGAAGCGAAAACAATAGCCAAAACGTACACGCCCTGCGAAAGGAGAAAATAGAGGAGAGAAAGAAACAGCGTATCAGTATTATTATCATCATACATACATATATATGCTTGGCGCGCGAGATAATTAAGGTTAATTATTATTAACAACGTACGTGTAGTAGCGAGCGGTTTAATTACCTTTAACGTGGTTATAAGACACGAAGCGCAGCAGGGATCTACGTCTTCTTCCACGACGACGTTGCGGTCATCCGATTTGTGAACGGGTTCAGGAATGTCTAAAGCCACGTGACAAGCGGTTGCCGGAGGAGGATCTGCCGACTCGACGTCAACGCCGCCGCCGTGGCTGCTCTGCGGATGCCTCGCCCCGCTGCTCAGGAAACCGGCCATGGCTGCCTGAGATATAACGCCATTAGAGTATTTTATTTACTACTAGTACAATTTATAAATCATCTAGATCTCGAGTAGGAAAACATTAGGGTTACTAAACCTTCTTCTCTAGAGGCTGCTACCTGATGTTGGACCGTCAGACCGGGATTTGTAGTCTAGCAGTATGTTCGCTTGCTCATAAATGATCGTAAATTTTCAGTCGGGAACAGTGTTTTTCTCTCACATCAAACCAGCCAGCAGTAAATAATCCACAATACGATACGGCCTCCCGAACAGGCTGTAGATACTCAGTCCTATTCCAAAAACATTCGGACTCAACCGTCCAAACTAGGAAAAAGAGGGGGAATTTCCATGCTAATCCTTTTTTTTAGACAAATTTTGACCGGTTTATAGAAAACATATCAGTTCCATGTCATATTCTCACTTAGATCCAAAGATTTTTGGAATGCCTTTTCTAGGAATTGATATCTTCCTTTTTAGGCAAATATCTAACCACATAAATAGGACGAGATGTCAGAGCTTTTAGAAAAGTATCATCCGAAGAGGAAGAGGAATGGGAAAGCTGCTCTTAAGGGTTGGGGGCGTACCGGATAGCATTATTGAATTGATTATATTCGTAGAATGAAACGCAGGGCGTAGAGTGAGGAGTAGGCTGTCCTTGAGAAGAGATGCTTTATCGGAACTCACCGTAGAGGAATACTTTCTATACTACATATCATGTGCTTTCCTAGCTTATGTATCTTTCTAGGAAGAGATGTTTGCCGCTATGGCGCGGGCACCTATCTTTTAGTATCACTGTAAGTAGTGACAACCGTTTATTTTTTATTTAACTATTCAATCTTTTAACGAGCCTAACAAAATTTACTATTCAATCAATTTGACCATCCTAACCAATTTACGGCCGCGGGATCTAAGTGCGCGTGGTGTGCGTGCGTGACTCAGCAGAGGTCAATCTCGATATTATATTTAATTTGTCTAATAAAAAAGAGGAACTTTATTGTTCTGTATAGAATGAAACTCACTGCTATAACTAGTAGAAGTATATATGGCCACTGCATTGGTAGGGCCACAATGCAAGAAACGAATACAAAACTTTGGGTTTCCCGTCTCCCAATTACACATCTATCCCATCAGATGAGCGACGAGCCGACGCAGAATGAACAAGGATAGTTGGGTAGATCTTTCCACTCTTATTGCTCTGCGCATTGCACTCTCGCGCAGCACATCCCTTCTGCCCAAAAGGCAAACGCAGTCACGAAGAAGAGGAAAGTTGCCACAGCCGCTACCATAACCGCCGCCAGGCTTCGTCCCACGTTTCGCTGAAATTTGGCTTATACTTATCCTTATGCTGATTTGTTGTGAGGGAAAACATTATTCGTTCGTTGAAAAATACTGTTGAAGCAGTGCTGCAGAATAGGTAGCTAAAACGTACGCGAAAAGTCAAAAAGAGAGAAAAAGAAACATCACCTCAGTATCATCATCATACATACATGTGCTTGGCGTACGAGATAAGGTCGATTATTAACGACGTGCATGTAGCGAGCGGTTTAATTACCTTGAACATGGTTAGAGCAACTCCATTCCTAATTTATAGGAATACATATTTTACTTAAAAAAATACCCTCCAATAGGCTCTTTAAATGGATCTCTAGATATAGACATCATCTATTTTGGATTTCTCACTATCCAAAGATAGAGAGCCATGATGACTCTCAAGAGTGCACACAAGATATAAAAAAGTTGTTGAAGGATATAAAAGATATAAAAAGTTACTTTTACTAGAGAGTAAATTTTAGAAAGAAACACGAAGCGAAACAGGGGTCTATGTCGTCTTCGACGACGATCGTGTAGTCATCCAATTTGTGAATGGGTTCAGGAATGTCCAAAGCCACGTGACAAGAGGTTGCCGGAGGATCTACCTATGACTCAACATCAATGCCGTTTTCGCTGCTATGTGGCGGCGGATATGGATATGGCTTGCCCCGTTGCTTGGGAAACCAGCCATGGCTGCCGGACAATATAACTTCATAAATCATAAGAGAATTTTCTTTAGAACATAAAAAACTTGGACTATGGGGATAGCATGTGACCTCTGAGCATTTTGCATTAAGGTAGAGGACTCATCACCTAGTCCAAGAAAACCACCGAACCTCGTATCCCGTTGCACATAGGGACCTATTACCCTATAAGTGGACCGATGCCACAAACATGTGCTTTGAGTAACGTGGGACAGATGAGGGTTTTATTTACCTCCGGTACTGCAATTTGCCCCCATGGGGCATCGAACCCAGGCCACAAGGGTGCCACATGGAGTGCTTGACTAGCCGGTCTAACATCATCTCGATTAGGGATGGCAACAGGTCG